GCCATTTAAAGCTAAAAAAGCCGGACATGTCCGGGGAAACCCGGATGGATGGTAACCCTAGTCTCTAAGGATTTTCAGCAAGGATCGCACAGGGTCAACCTCCCCACATTCAAATCCAAAAGAAACTAAAGAAATGAATTTAATTAAATAACTTTATAAAATCTTATGATAAAGAAAAATAATCTAATTTTTACAACATGACATGGCTATGATATAACCACAGACATTACTTTCACAGTCTAAAATCCTACCTGCCACATGGGGCCACAACAGTGGGACCCCTAACTCACACAGCAACATCGTCAATTTATCCAGCTACACACTTAACCCAGCAGATGAGTCTGTCCTATCTCGGGGACTCTCTTTTTGCCCCACCACCCCCACAAACATGATACAGTTCTGCAGTGATCTGGAAGCCTACTTTCGCCGTCTCCGACTCAAAGAATACTTTCAAGATAACACTGAACCGTGCACTGGTACACGGATACCCTCCCACCAACACCACAAGAAGAAGAATTCCACATGGATTCCTCCCGAGCGTCGAAATGAGAGTCTGGACCTATACATAGAATGCTCCCGCCGACGTGCACAGGCAGAAATTGTGGAAAAACAACATGGCTTGCCTCATAACCTCAGTCGTGCAGAACGCAATGCCATCCACAGCCTCAGAAACCACCCTGACATTATCATCAAAGAGGCTGATAAAGGAGGTGCTGTTGTCATCATGAACAGGTCTGACTACCACAAGGAGGCTGCCAGACAACTCTCCAATACCAAATTCTACAGGCCACTTTCCTCAGATCCCACTGCGGAATATACTAAGAAACTGCACCATCTACTCAGGACACTCCCTACACTAACATAGGAAGAAATCAACACACCCTTAGAGCCCCGACCGGGGTTATTCTATCTACTACCCAAGATCCACAAACCTGGAAATCCTGGACACCCCATCATCTCTGGAACTGGCACTCTCACTGAAGGACTATCCGGATATGTGGACTCTCTACTCAGACCCTATGCCACCAGCACTCCCAGCTATCTCCGTGACACCACTGATTTCCTGAGAAAACTACAATGCATTGGTGATCTCCCAGAAAACACCATCCTAGCCACCATGGATGTGGAAGTTCTCTACACAAACATCCCACACACAGATGGAATACAAGCTGTCAGGAACAGTATCCCTGATGATGACACAGCACAACTTGTTGCTGAGCTCTGTGACTTTATCCTCACGCACAATTATTTCAAATTTGGTGACAATATATACCTCCAGACCAGTGGCACCGCTATGGGCACCCGCATGGCCCTACAATATGCCAACATTTTTATGGCTGACCTGGAACAACGCTTCCTCAGCTCTCGTCCACTCACGCCCCTTCTCTACCTACCCTACATTGACGGCATCTTCATCATCTGGACCCATGGGAAGGAGACTCTGGAAGAATTCCACCATGATTTCAACAGCTTCCACCCCACCATCAACCTCAGCCTGGACCAATCTACACGGGAGGTCCACTTCCTAGATACCACAGTACAAATAAGTGATGGTCACGTTACCACCACCCTATACCGAAAACCCACTGACCGCTATGCCTACCTTCATGCCTCCAGCTTCCACCCCGGACACACCACACGATCCATCGTCTACAGCCAAGTGCTGAGATACAACCGCATTTGCTCCAACCCCTCAGACAGATACCGACACCTACAAGACCTTCACCAAGCATTCTCAAAACTACGATACCCGCACGAGGAAATAAGGAAACAAATCAACAGAGCCAGACGTGTACCCAGAAGCCTCCTGCTACAAGACAAGCCCAAGAAAGAAACCAACAGAACTCCACTGGCCATCACCTACAGTCCTCAGCTTAAACCTCTCCAACGCATCATCAGTGATCTACAACCCATCCTGGACAGTGATCCCTTGCTTTCACAGACCTTGGGAGGCAGACCAGTCCTTGCCCACAGACAACCCGCCAACCTTAAGCATATTCTCACCAGCAACCACACATCGCACCATAACAACTCTAACTCTGGAACCAATCCATGCAACAAACCTCGATGCCAACTCTGCCCACATATCTACACCAGCGACACCATCACTGGACCTAACCAGATCAGCTACAACATCACCGGCTCATTCACCTGCACGTCCACCAATGTTATATATGCCATCATGTGCCAGCAATGCCCCTCTGCTATGTACATCAGCCAAACTGGACAGTCCCTATGTAAAAGGATAAATGGACACAAGTCAGATATTAGGAATGGCAATATACAAAAACCTGTAGGAGAACACTTCAACCTCCCTGGCCACACAATAGCAGATTTAAAGGTAGCCATCCTGCAGCAAAAAAACTTCAGGACCAGACTTCAAAGAGAAACTGCTGAGCTTCAGTTCATTTGCAAATTTGACACCATCAGGTCAGGATTAAACAAAGACTGTGAATGGCTAGCCAACTACAAAAGCAGTTTCTCCTCCCTTGGTGTTCACACCTCAACTGCTAGCAGAGCACCTCACCCTCCCTGACTGAACTAACCTCCTTATCTCCAGACTGATTCTTGCCAGCATATTTATACCTGCCTCTGGAAATTTCCATTACATGCGTCTGACGAAGTGGGTATTCACCCACGAAAGCTTATGCTCCAATACATCTGTTAGTCTATAAGGTGCCACAGGACTCTTTGTTGCTTATTACCTTCACAGTTATACATAAACATCAATAAAGAAAACAAATGAAAATCTGAACAGTTCAGTCCCCCCAGAAACACAGTGAAAGTTCCCCAAAACTTGGGTTTTGTTCACTTAAGTCTCAGTTAGAGTCTTTGATCACCAAATCGAGACAATCTGCTGAGACTAAACAACAGCTTCCCTCCACTTGCCTGTAGGGATCTTCAGCTGGAATCCAGGCAGACTCTTCCTCTGCTGAAATCACTGTTAGCCACTCAGCTGATGGATTAACCAACCACTCAGTTACCTGTATAGAGTTAAAGAAAACCCTGTTACAAGAAAATACAAAACTGAGAATAGCAAAATAGAAATGACTCTTTCCCCATTATCACATTTAAAGAACAGTTGATGACTCAAACTAGTTGAGATAATGTAACTAGAACAGTTTGGCTAAAATCAAAACAATATTCAAAGCGTACAAATTAAAACAGAAGTGATTTTTCCCTCCCAGTTTCCCTGGGCTATAATTAGCATTGCCCAGGCTTCCCTGTTAGAGGGTTCACAATATCACTAATCTGCTGCAAAATGCTTCAGAGCAGCGGTTCTCAAACTTTTGTCCTGGTGACCCCTTTCCCATAGCAGCCTCAGAGTGCGACCCCCCTTGTAAATTAAAAACACTTTTAACACCATTATATTTAACACCATTATAAATGCTGGATGCAAAGTGTGGTTTGGGGTGGAGGCTGACAGCTCGCGACCCGCCATGTAATAACCTCGCAACCCCCCGAGGGGTCCCAACCCCCAGTTTGAGAACCCCTGCTTCAGAGTTCGGGAGAGCAGCCTGCTTCCTCCCCCTGGCCTCAGCTTCTCCCGACTCACCCAGGGCACGTGGCCTTCTGCCAAGCACCTGCGCTGACTGCTGCCCTCAGGGCGTCTGACCCCAGCAACAGGGAACCTATGGGAGCAGACCCAAATCTACTACATCCAATTCCAGAAGCTTCTGGATCTGGAGTGCTTAATCTGCCTAGCAACAGTGATCCAGAGACAGGACACTCCTCCCTCCTCCCTATCTTAAAGAGATATCTCCCTATTAGGCACATGGGTTACACGCGCACACCCCCTCCAAGAAGAAAGGGGCCAGAGCCAACTTCAAATAGAGGTGGCCCAGGCTCCTGCACAGGCCCTGTTCCCCGCCAGTGCCACCCCCCTCCCCAAGCTGGTAATGTTACACTGCTTGCGTTTCCTTCAGGTGTAAAAATCCCCCTGCGCCTGCAGCGCTCGCCAGTCCTGAAACGGAAGCCTAAGCCCAACTCTATGGTGGATGTGGCGGGGAGCAGCACGGCCAGTGCCCCGGCAGCATTGCAGGGTAAGGATGAGCTAACCCTACAGCCTGTGCACAGGGCATGGCACCTGCACCAACTCAGAGCCCTTTCCCCTTCGGCATTGCCCCGGCACCTCCTGCCCGCCTCCCCCCCAGGCCCAGTCCACTCCTCTTCCCTACACCTGCGTGCTGCCCTGGGCCTGATCCTGCGCTCACCCCTACTAATGTAAGGTGGGAGTGGCCACCCTGAGGCCAGTGCAGTTACACTGGTGTAAAGGGGGAGAATCTGGCCCTACGGGGACAGGTGCACAGAGACTAAAGCAGCCAGTCAGGCCCCTTCCCTCTTACTGAGCTGCGGCTCCCTTTGTTGCCCTACGGAGGCACCTTTAGTAATGCTGTTGTGACCCTCGCTAATGCCGTGTTTGTGGCCCCTTCCCCAGACACTCTGCCACAGGACGAGCACAGGGCCACAGCCGAACTGCAGGGGGAGCAACCGCAAGCCGTGGAACAACCGGTTGAAAATGCACAGAACAGCCACACACCAAAGAGCAGCAGCTCCAGGCCTGCCAGCAGCCCCCCAGGGACAATGAGTTAGTGAGGGCTGCGGCCCGCTGTCATTTCCAATAAAACACTGCGACCAAGTGCAAGCTGAAGGGTTATGATTTGCAACAGAAGCTCAAGCACCTGTGCAGTGTAGGGCACCATGGTGCAAGCAGCGGGGAGATGGGGGAGGAGGCCCCCAGCTTGCTCCCCCTCCCTTCGCTGCTCCCAGGTGTAGAACATCAGTGCTTCCTATGGAAACGGGGACAGACCGGAGCCTGGCCCCACTGGGAGGCTGCTAACACTTCCTGAACGATCTACGAGAGGACCCCCCCTTCCAGCTCCCACTACCCTCTGCTAGTCTCATACTGCGCACAGCTGGCTTTACACAAGCTCCAGCTGGCTAAAACCGAGATGCCAGAAGCCAGTAGCTGAGTTTGCCACCAGCCTAAGCTTTTCCTGGAGCATCTGGCTCTTTGGATGCATGCACAGCTATTAAGTATGCAGCAATAGCAGGCACGGGCCAGTGGCTTGTGTGTGTTTGCCATACATGGGGACTTGCCTTGCATTGTACGGCCCCGGATCAACAGGGCTGCACAATGCTGAATTAGGTGGGTTTCAGGCCGGGTGTGGCACTCACATCCAAACCTACTCAATACAGAACAATCTGCCTCTTCTGGGGGCCAGAGCGGGTCGTTCCCCTCCAACAATTAGGCTGGGTGCATGCCGTCGGCTTGGTTTAACCTGTCTGCACGATCCTGCCGTTCTTACTCAAGCAGATCCTCCACTGCCAGCAACGGGAGTTTGGGCTGAAGGCACAGCCCCATGTGCTCTGTGCACGCTGGCCCTGCGTTCTGCGCTGCTCCACCGTGGCAGGCTGGACATTCCGTGGCACCGCTCGGTCAGTTGAAAAAACAAATCTGGAGGGTTTGATTAAAATGTGAACATGACTAATGGAAGCAGTGCAGCTCCCTGTGGTGTTTCTCCTGCCAGTGCATTTATTTCAGGCTTCCCCATCATTTCAGTGTGCTGCAGAACTGGGCACTGAAACGGAGCAACTGCTCTGAAGCCAGCAGCAGGACAAGGCGTGGGGGTGGGGGTTGATATGCACAGGAACTCGGTGTTTGCTAAGATGAGCTGCTGGGAAACAGTTAAATTGAAGCTGGTGGGAGGCTTTGATGTCATCAAGCTGCTGTGGAGAATGGAGCTGTTCAGACCTGTTGTGCTCTTGGTTCTGGCTGGCTGCAGCCTTTACAGGTCGGTGACATTCGGGTCTTGGTTGAGGTTTTTGTCACCAGCACAAGGGCTAGAATTTATTTAATTTAATTGAAAGAGTCTGGAGCAAAATTCTGCAGTCAAAAATACAAGTGATTCTGTCCCCAGGCTCACAGCAGAAGGCAGTGGTCCCCCAACTTTTTACATCAGTCCCCCCCGTCCATGTGGTCCCCAGAGCCACGGTCAGAGCTGAGGGTGGGCTTGGGGCTGGCAATCAGGGCTGCTGCCAGGTCCAGCGCTGCAGCCGGGCTGAGAGCCAGGGGCTGAGACCAGAGCTACAGCTAGGGGTGGGGCATTCCCCCCACCCCCCAAACGTTCCTCCACACTTCCCCCTCCCCCAGTTTGGGAACCACTATCCTAAGGTAATAAAACTTCCCTTAGCTCTGCTATTTCCCCCCACTCCTCCGACAGACAATACCTGACCTTAGCTCAGCCAGGCCCACAGCCTCCCCCAGGATAAAGCAGAGTGAAGGGCACAGTATTTGTATTCTGAACAGAGGTCCCTTTGCTTCCCCCCCCAGCTCTGCAGCATGCCCCTTGCTGCACCTCACGTTTGTGAGGGGGGATGAGGATATTCTATCAGAGCCATGTATTTAAAAATAGACACTTTTTATTTTTCATTTCCAAAGCATAAACCATGTGAAATATTTTGTAACAAACTGAGCAGGAATCTACTCAAACTAAGCATTAAAAGACCAAACTACTGCATTGACTCCAGAGTCACAATTGGTAGGGGGGTGCGCTGCTGCGGAGAAGGAACGCTACCACAGCGCTTTACTAACCTCTGCTACATCATGGACCGCCTCTGCCTGGAGCCTAGGGCTGGGGCATTAGCCCAGTTAAGGGATGCTGCGGGTTGTAAGGAGATGTAGCAAGCCCCTTGCTCACAGCTGCTGTGCGGTAGATGCCTGCTCCTATCCCAGCTCACTGCATTCCTTGACAAATAACAGACTGGGCTGGTGTGCGCGACAGGCAGAGCGCTGAAGGGCATTGCTTTCCAGCTGGGGTTTAACGTGCTGAAGAGGTGATTGTAGGGAGGAGGGAGAGCAGAATATCCCACAGCAAGGTATCCAGCTGCCAGGATGACTTGTCTACCCGACGTTCCCTCCACCAGCCCTTCTCCGTGGAGCACAGGATAAAACCCCGCTGCACCTCACAGCCAAGCATGAGATTCAGTCCCTGGCACACCGTACCAGTGAAGGCTCATGCACGCTGCTGCCCCCGCTGTGGCCGGGGACTCCCAGCATATGGCACAGGAGCTAGTCCAAGAGGCTGGGCAGGAGTCGTTAGGACTGGGAGTGCCTTTTGGGTAACCTGAGTGCCAGCGGACCTTCCTTTTGGCCCCAGAGGGCCTACTCTGCATGGCTATCGAGTCACACCCTTCCATGCTCGTCCCTTCGGGTAAGCCGTGAACAGGAACAGGAGAACCTAGGTACAGCACATTGGAACTCCCCCAGGGCCTTCGCTCAGGCCTGCTCAGCTCTGGTGATCACCCAGCAGGCCCAGCGCAGCATCGCCTTCGAGATCCTGTGAACCAAAACAGAAGCGCAAGTGAGAATGGGACGGTCGCTCTGCAACTGCAGTGCCTAGCTGCTGCAGGGCTCGGCTGCCATCCAGAACGATGATGTATTCTGCCGAGGGAGCCCCTGAGTGAGACCCCCAGAGCAGCTGTGCTCCACACAGCAGTGACTGGTGGTCCCCAAAGTGACTGGTCATGTGCTGCTGCTTCTCTGTAGCTGCTTTGACAAGGGTCCAGGCACTCATTGCCAAGGACTGTAAGAGCAGCTCAAGCCAGGAGTCAGCCTGGCTGCCTTTACTAGAGCTGGCCAAGAGCTGGGACTGCCAGCCGGCAGGGAGGGGACCGACAGTCTGTCCAGGGTGGAAGGGAACCGGTGGGCAGGGGAACATTGCAGGTGGGAGGAATTAAGCTGTGTAATGAAGAGCCAAATCAAGTGTGATTAGCTTTCTCAGCAAGGCAACACGGGTCAGAGCTCCGGTTCTACGCCCCCACAGGCAGCACTGCCCTAGTTACCACCCACATGTTTGAGAACTGCAACTGAGATGGGAGAGGGCCATGACTCAATCTCTGTATTACAGGGTGAGCCACACTGGCTTGGTTTGAGAGCCTAGTGAAGCAGTGGGGACCCAGCCCACAACAGTGTCAGTCACTGCATGGCCAGAGACCCACAGGTTGTGTTTGTAGGGGCTACGCAAATGCAGCTCCCTGACAGCGGCACTGCGGCCCAAGCTGTTATCAGAGGGAGCTGGCAGACAGGAGTGAAATCTAAGGGGGACCGGCGCAGCTCTCTCCTCCAACTGTACCAGCAATAGGGTCTCTGGAGCCGTGCCGGCTGCTTTGGACAGGGCGCAGAGCAGCTTATGGGGTGAGTCTATTTTTACTCTTATTTTAAGTGAGGTGCAAAGGGTATTTGAGAAGCCCACTTAGCTGGGGTGCCCCCCGTCTGGGAGACCCACGCACCGCACTGACCTGGTGGAGTTCACTCGGGCACAGAGATCTGGCGTTGGTGCCGTGTAGGCGTATTGAAATGGGGCTGTTTTCACATACTTCTGGAGGGAAGGAAGACAATTCAGCTCAATCTATATTAAACATCACAGCTGAAAAACATCCCCAGCCCATGCAGAGCTCCGGACATAGCTTTCTCCCCCACCAGCTCTCCTGGCTCAGAGAAGCTGGTTTCATGCACATTTACCCTGTGGAACCACGGCACTAGATGTCCCCAGGGGAAGGACAAGAGCTCTGGGCAAGCCAGCAGGCAGGAGTGGGGGATTCTCTTGGAAATCTGAGTTACCCTGAGTGCTTGGCATAGCCCTGGAGTGGAAGCCTCCCGAAACAGAAGCCAACCTTAAGGAGAGATCCTCTGAAACAATGACCGATCCCTTCCAAGGAGGGGGCCTTGTGCTGTAAGATTGAGCCTAATTCAGCAAGCGCAGCATGGCAGGGTCTCTCTCACACATGTTATTGGGTTAGTTACTTAGAGAGCTGGAGGATTTCCCTGGTTGTTTAGGACCCAGTCCCCATCTGGGAGCCCAGGAGATGGCTTGTAGCAAGTGCTGGCGTGTGTTCTCTGTACTCTCACCCCTGCGCTCTGACTGGCTCCTCCAACTCCTGCTGCATGTGGCTTCAGCCTCCCCCTTCCCCAGCCACATGGTCACAACAGGCTCTTCCCACCACGGACATGGCTGTCTCCTGTCTGGCACAGGAGCAATGGCTGCTATTGGGAAGTGCCTGGCAGAGGGCAGTCCCCTGGCAGACGTGGGCTGGCATGCAGACCCCTCGCTCCTGGAGAAGGACTGCTGCAGGGGCAGAAAGCTCAGGCCCAGCCTTCAGAGGGAGCCCTTCCCTTTTCTTCTCAGCTGGAAGGCTGGTGGCTACAAGGCAGGGCTTTGGGGCCCGGAGACGGGAGATTGTGGGACACTAAGACAAAACTAAGAAATGACAACGAGCCTGCGGACCTTTACCTGTTCCTGGGCTCTGTGCTGGCCTGGCCCGGACGCAGCCACGCTCCTGACTGCTGCTCTCTCATTTCCCCTTCCTGGCAGCCCCTCCAGGTCCCCGGGCAGTGCAGGCTCCTGAGCTGGCCCGGCCTGCTCCAGCCTGGTCTTCTTGGCTCTCTGAGCACTCACCAACTCCATACCTGGGTTCTGGCCCACTATGTTCACGTCCACGCAGCGCTCGTCCCCCATGGGCACATCCGCATGGGGAGGTTTCCTCTGTGCTCTCTGATGGGTTTTGCCTGGATTGGACAAAACCTCGCCGTGGGCCTTATTGTCATCCACCAGCAGCTTTCTCTTAGTCACCCTGTGCTGCCTGCTCCTGGACAGATCTTTTCCCCCAGCTCTACTCCCCAGCTCAGTGTCCCATTCAGAGCTTGGCAGACCACTGTTCTCCACATCTGGGAGGGAAGCCGCGCCACCAAGCTCAGCCTGCCCTCCATTTGCAGGGGGTGCTGCTCTGCTGTTGATGCTGCCCAAAATGGGAAGAGCAGGAGAGAAAGGGCACAGATTGGTTTGGAAAGCTCCAGATGGCTGGCCGCAGGGGACGTCATGGCTGGCATCAGGGTGTTTATCCACATCAGGTGCCCTCTGGAACGTGGCAGCAGCTGTTCCTCGACTGGCAGCCTCTGGGGGACATGTACTGCTGTAGGACAGCAGTGATGGGGATACAGTCTCCACTGGTTCATTCTGGGATAAGCTACAAGGGGACTGCTGGCTGGAAGGCTCCAAGAAATCTGGGGTGTTGCTGTCAGGCTGTGTGATGGCCGCCTCCTCTGCGGAGTTGGGTAGCTGGGCCTCTTCTGTGCTTGGCAGGCTGGGCTGGATAATGGACTTCTCTGACAAAAGAGAACAAAACACAACTTTCCCCGTGGAAGAGGGCAGGAGACAGCAGCACGGGCAGAGACTGTCCCACCTGCCTGGAGCTGGGAAGGCAGCTGGGGAAGGACAATTCCAAAGGGGCCAAAGATAGCAAAGCTGGCAGGAGAAGGTTCTGCCACAGCAACCCTTGGCTACCGGAGGCGTCCTCCAAGTGTCTTATCCAGGTTCTACTGGGCATTCTCTCCTCTGTGCTGACTGGCTGTTTGCATCAATACCCTCCCTCAGAGTCTCTGCCTGCTGTACAGGCTGCCCCGCCCCGTCCGACCCCCTCCACGTCCCCTCTCCCTTCGTTTAGCTGATCTCGTCCCAACACAACCCCTCCCAGAACATTAAAAACAAACCCAAATGGTGGCACTACTACAGCTTCTGTCACTGATCTCATTGTTTACGCGGCCTCCATCCCCCAGCCTTTGTCTGCCTATTACTGTGTCTGTACAGCACCTAGCACAAGGGGGTGATCGCCGGTGGTCCCTAGGCATGACCATGATACAGTCACCACCAATACCGTGCAAGGGCAAATCAGCCATTTATGGGGGAGATAAGGTCTATCACCCTTGGTGCATGCAGATGGGTGGACTGGCAAACGCAATCACACACACAAACAGGCACCTGAATGTATCAAAGAGATCCAGGCTGTACCTTCCTGAAAACCATCCCCATCCCCTGCACGCGCACACAGCATGGGCCACGTTTTAAGAACTGCATGTGCAAAAGTGAGTGTGCAATTTCAAGTGTGATGGTGGTAACAAGGCTTACAAATTGCATGTGTGCGCGCGCAGGTGAGCACACCGTTCTTCCTGTCTGACCCTGTATCTCCAGGTGTAAGATGTAGGGTGTGCAGACACAGAGAGAAGGAAAGATGCTCTCCGCTTGCAACAGGAGATGCTGGAAGGCAGTGTGTGCACTCACCTTCCAAGGAGGAGGACAGAGTCACGGACACTGACTGAAGCTTGTCCCAGGGATTATCCAGGGATACGTCCAAACTTCGGGACATTGCGCCAGGGTCTGCCAAAAGCGAGAATGAAATTAGACTGCAGCCCTACAGATCGGAGCACTGTAGGCCAGGCTAAAGGCCCCAGCAAGGAACAGTAACACACCCACACATGCTACAAATCCCTTCTGTCTCCTCGTGTTCCCATAGCCACAATCCCCACCATGAGCAGGACAGCAGTTCTCTGCACCCCCATCTTCACGGTGTCCTGCTGAGCTGAGCTTTTGTGAGGACACACTCCTGCTTGGGGGGGCTAAGCATCGCCTTGGGCGGGTGAGCTCAGCATCCACTAGACGTCAGCGCCCCTGGGGCCACTCAGCTGCGATCCATCAAACCAGGGACCCAGACACTGATTAAGTTGGCCACAGAGCCACTCTGGTGAGCCGATCCCCACAGTGGCTGATTCTGGGCACGTTATCGGCTGAGTAAAGCAAGGGCTTATACTCAACTCAAGCTGCCGTGCAGGCGAGGGGCCCATCTAGGTTACAGATCGCCTACAGAAGCAATGAAGCGTGTGACTCTCTGCTATTTATGCTGTAGTAGCACCCAACGGCCCCAGTCACAGATCAGGGCCCGGCGTGCTAGACGCTGTACACACTGTACCAGACCTAGTCAACTGGGTCTGCCCCATCAGCAGGGGGACAACTCTCCTACTCATCCCACCCCTTTCTGTCTTCTTTGGTTCTAAGAGAAAAGAGGATGGACTAGCTAGCTGTAAACAGCCAAAGGGACAGCAGATGAGACACTGCTATGGGGTGCAAAGCATGGGTGACCCCATAAGAGGCTGCTCCAAGCACACATGCCCCACGAGGGGGATGCACAGAGACAACACCTGTCAACTGGAGTGGCTGGTTAGCACCGATCTTCCTGCCCTGGCAGGTTTAAGCCACAGCCTGAGTGCTGATTTCCTGCCGCTTGGGGGTAAGAATTCCCTAGGGAGGTTCTGTGTGTTTTTACAAAGCCACACCTCTTGTCGGTGCATGCGCAGCAAAGAACTTGCCTGGGCAAAATGACAGATACCCCTGGCAACGGCTGGTGCAGAACCGCTGTCCTTAGACCAGAGACGTTTAACATCTGACAAAGCCTCTGGCCCACTAACACAACCTTACGCTGCATCGCACAGAAAACTAGGCTCAAAATGTCACGGGATGGGGACCTTCAGGTCAGAGGTCCCCGGCCCCCCCAAAAGAACCAAGAGCAAGCGCTTCCCAGCTGATGAGAGGGAGGGCTGGTCCCTTAGGGGACGGAGGGCCAGGCCAGGCTAATTGCCAGCACCCTGAACGGCACTCAGAGAATGAGACCTCGCAGACAGACATTCGCCTGCTGCACACTTCTGCGTGCCACGAGCTAGCCCACTGCAGAGCGAACAGCAGCAGCCTAGCCAAGCGGTGGCAGAAGCATGGGTGATGACTGCGTGTGGGAGAGGAAGCTACAGCTCCTTGGCTGGCCGGGGGTGGCAAGAGGCATCGCTGCCACTTATTTTATTCCTCATGCAGCTTAAACAATTGTTTTTCAAGACAGCTGGTGCATTGACGGTTACCTCTAACATGGACAATCTGTGACTGGGGGCAAACAGCCCCGCTTGGTTAGCAGCCGACCAAAACTCCCCCCACATGCTCCATACCAGAGTTTACGTTTCAGAGAAGGACAAGGGCCTGGAAGACTAGTGGGATATTGCAATAGCCCCTCCATGGACCCCATCCTCCAGTGGAGAGAAAACTGGGAGGGGCAAACCCCAAAAGAAAATCCCGAACAGAGCAGACAGCTGCTGCAGGATCCAGGCCACTGGCTCAGGCTCTACTACTCACCACTGGGGCATGACACTACACTACAGTCATCCAGGTCCCTGTCAAGGCGGCTTCTCCCAGGAACGGTGTGAGGAGATCCTGCAGGAATAGGGGGGTTGCCGTCACCCTCTGGATGCCTCTCGCTGATTCAGCTTGTTCCCTGAGAGATCCCTAAAGCCCCCTCTCAGAACCGCAGGTACCCGTCAGGGCAGAGCTCCACTGCAGCTCCCCCCCAGTTTCCACTGGGGAAGATCACAGGGTTCGCAAATCCCCTGGCTAGAGGCAGCATCTCATTCTAGCTGCATCTGTGAAGGGCCAGGCCGGGGACTGGAATGTCAGTTGCCGTCCCGCGCCACGTGGATCAACATCCCCGGAGAGCGCAGCCCCGCAGGCAGGGCCTGACTGAACCATGCGGCTCAGGAGCCCTTCCCCCATTCCAGAGCCACCCCGGAGAGGCAGACCCGGTTGGTGCAGGAAGCTTGTGAGAGATGGGGGGGAGAGCGCGTCAGGCAGAGGGTGCTTCACTGAGACCTGGGCACGCTCCTGGAGAGCCACAGCCTGCTAACCCGAAGGGACCTCTGACTGAGAGCCTGCAGCTCTCAAAATCAGGTCTGCAAGGCGCTGGGGTAGAGCCCCAGCCCAGACATGGCCAGGCTTTGCAGACTGTAGGTACAGCCGTGGCACTGACCTGCCACGCAGGCATCACGAATCGCCGCCTCCTCCTCCGGGCCAATCACCAGGAAGTTGGCTGGCACTGTAAAGACGTCTTTACTCAGCTGAAATGAGAATTGTTAGCCAGCTTCTACATCACAGACAAAAGACAGAGTCCAGGCAGTCCGGCACACTGACCCATCCCTGGGGCTCCCAGCATCACTGGGAAGACCAGCAGCTCTTCCGCAGACCAGGAGAGAGAGCCCGGAAGAGCTGATTTAGCTCTTAGGTCTGAGCATCCAGCGTGAGCTCTGGGAACCCGACCGAGTGCAGCACTCTCCCAAGAAATGCCAAAAGCCAGTATGCCACAGCAAGAGCCACCCTCGCTCCCTCCAACTCGAAACCCCTCCCGCACTGGGTCCTTCCCTCCCAAGGTCGAAGGATTTACCTCTTTCTTCTGTGAGAAGAGCCCCACCGTCGCCCCTCAGCCCCACCTGGCCCCGTACCAGATCATCGGACACATGCACAGCCAGGACAGGCTGGCAGCCAGCACTGACCTCTCTCTTGCGCTCCACCTCCCAGTTGGTGACAGGGAGCCTCTCCCCTATGGCTGGCACCTCACTTGGGTCCAGTAAATCCAAGCAATCCTCAACATTCTGCTTCAAAACCTTGAGCCGTCTCTGCCCTATGTCGATCATTAACTGAGACACCGACATCCCTAGAGGGGGACAGACGCGCCCACGTCAACAGGCCACTGAGACCCCCTTGAGGCCACGAGCCCAGAGCCTAGCTGTGACACACACAGAGCGCCTGGAGAAGCTATTTTGTACCAACAGCTCTCAATACTTCCTTTCTGTTCACAGCAACAACCTTGTCTTACATTCCCACAGCACCTTCCATCACACAGGATAGCCAAAGCACTTTGCAAAGGATGTACTGCTCGAGAATTACTTAGCACGAAATGCCACCGCCTCTGGGGCAGAAGGGGGCAACCCAAAGGCACTGGGGAAGGCAAGAGGAGTTTGAATGGCGTCTGCTCCGAGCCCTCAGCTGTGAGTTAGTTTTGGTTCCAGGAAGACCCAGGACTGGAACAGCAGGGGTTGCTAAGAGCCAGGATGGGGGTGTCTCAGTGCAGTTCCTGATGGACAGGCGCCCACAGCACACCACAGCCTCCTGCTGGCCCCCTTGCTGCCTGCTGCAGAGAGGCAAGGGGCTGATTCATTCGAATGCAGACGAGTCAGAGGCTGCCCAGTGGGAGCACAGTTATACCCAGTGCAGTGACTTGGCACTCCGGTGTAGGAACGAGGCAGAAGGGGGCACTGCCCAGGCTCTGTGAAGGCACACAGGTGCCCAGTGCCAGGGCTGTCGATCAGGCCCCTTTCACCAGCACGGACATCACTTCTGGGTGGGGGGGAGAGAGAGTTAATATGAATCTGGACTCTTTATTAACCAAGCGCTTAAGACCATTTTGTGCTGCCGAGAGTTCCACCCGGAGCCACCCAGGGCCAGAGGGAAGGCAGGGCAGAGCAGGCTGGCCTCAGGGAAAACACACCTCCATTGCATACCAGTGTAGCGTGGCCAAACGTGGCAAGCAAATCCTCAGGCCGAACTCCCTGTGCTTAGGGCCTCCCGCTGGCCTGGCTGGGTTTACAGCCCTTTGCTCCAGAGTGGTTCTCTGACTGCAGCACAGATCAGGGCTCTGCATTGTCAGTGGGTTTAGTAGCTGCACTGACAGCCCCAAAGCTCTCAGTCCTGTTTATCCACTGAGAGCCCTGGCAGTGTCAGGACGCATGGCTCATGCTGTTCCACCAGTGCATCTCAGCCCCACCCAGAGCAGACAGCTCCAGAGCGCAGGTCAGTCTTCAAACCACATCCAACTCCTTGCTGGGACGGCCGACGAAGCGGGCAGTTAGTGCCATCGTGGCAGAGATCTGTGTAAGGTGGACTGAGAACTGAGATCCACCAACTCATTTCACACAGGTCAGCAACACCTACCACCCCCCGCCTCTCCCGTCACTGTTCCCACTGTACCTGAGGAGGAAACAGTCTTCAGGGTGAGGCCTCTCCTGCAATAGTCAAACAACACAGATCCCAGGGTCAGGCTCCAGACAGCTTCCCTGCCCAGAACCCAACAGAAAACCTTACAAAGGTCATGCAGTGCCCCCCGGCCCAACAGGGAAACCAGAGCCGGGGGAGTGCCCCAAGACTGAGCCCCTGTGGGAATCAGAGCCATCCCTTGGCCTCTCTCTCTGATACCTGAGCAATTTCACTCCGGCAGCTCACTATACAGACGCTCCCTGACTTACGCAAGCGTTCCGTAAGTCGGAAACATATACCTGACAATTACACACACAAAAAAGGCTTACAGAACTTTTCCCGTAAGTGCGGATTTGCGTAAGTCAACCTTGCTGCAGGCAAAGCACTGCACTTCTTTGAGGAGATGGGCCTTTCCGGGAATACGCTAGCCCTGCCCTTCCGTGTGCAACGCTTGCACTGAGACACGGGGGAGCTAACCCTACTGTTTCAGCCCAACTCCCTCTGCAGGCGATCTGAAGGGAAGCGTGCTGCTCTTCAGCAGCAACCCCAAACAGGAGGTGAGCAGTGGAAATTGTAAGACATTGTCTCAGCGGAGCAGGAGCCGCCTTCCTGCACACTAAGGGAGCCATTCACAAGCAAGGCAATGGTGCCTCTACCCCTCCGAGCCATTGCTCGCTCAGGAGGAACACGTGGCCAGTGGGGGAAGTTTCCTCACGCCCTGAAGCACAAGGGCGAACACCCTCACATGTCATCCCAACCATGAACACGCTCAGCCATGAAAACCAGCTTTTTTGGATGACTCCTGCTAAGGTCAATCACAGCCTGTGACACAGGAGTCCCGCAGCCGGCGTAAACGGGCACCTCCTTTCGCTAGTCAGCACGACCCAGGCCCTGACCGAGCACACATCTTGGCAAGTCAGGAAAATGGTGCCATAACTGGGTCATGTACTCACTGCCATAGTTCCTTTATCTTCTGGAGGATTGAGGGCTCCTGGTTACTGGAACAACAAAGAGTCTTGGTTACTGGTGCAGCAGCCTACCCCCACGCCCAGACAAGGCGCTGCCCTCGCTGTAGTATGCAGCGCTATTTCCTTGAAGCCTTCATCTCCCCTTTCCCTCATCGCCTCCCCGAAAGAGCAGATGAGCTAGAACATGTGGGAGGGTCGCAAAGACAGCCTCCAAGGGTGATGTGATTAAAGCCAGGGGGAGAACGGCCGTTTAGAGCTACAGAGAGCCTCCATGGAAAAACAGGGACCCGGGGCATATAAGGGGTTTAGAGAACCATCACACAGGGGTCTAGTGAAAGCCCCAGTGACTGACTACATGCCTTCAACCCCTGCAGTGCCCAAGCAGCTGGGCCAGGGAGCGCAGAATGGCCAGCCCCGCAAGTTCAAAAACCTGAGTCAGACACCCCAAAAAGGGTTAGAACACCTGGCCTGCGAGGAAAGGTTAAAACAATTGGGCATGTTTAGCCTGGAGAAACGACTGAGTGGGGCCCTCCTTACAGTCTTCACGATGTTAAGGAGCGTTATAAAGAGCATGATGATCAATTGCTCTCCATGCCCACTGAAGTGATGGGCTTAATCTGCAGCCAGGGAGATGTAGGTTAGATATTAGAAAAACTTTCCAACTCTCAGGGTAGTTAAGTTTTGCAATATGCCCAAGGGAGGTTGTGCAGTCCCTGTCACTGGAGATTTAAGAACAGGTTGGACAAACCCGTCAGGGCTGGTCTAGGTTTGCTTGGTCCTGCCTCAGCGCAGGGGGCTGGCTTAGGTGACCCCTTTGAAGTCCCATCCAGCCCATGATTTTATAAAATTGGCCCCAAAATCATGAGTTTTAAGATTCAATTGTGATTTTTGGCCGATCTTCTGAATTCTGCCCTCCCCATGTACCCCACTGTGTGTGAGCGCACCACTGTACTCCCGACTCACCCAAATAGCGAACGAGGCGATTTTAGCCTCTTGAGCAGGAGCTCGCAATAGAGAACCCAACCGAGATCAGAGCCCTGTTGGGCTAAGCACTGTACAGTCACAGAGTAAGAGACTGTCCCTGCCCTGAAGAGCTAACAAGCTATGGACTGGCTCATCACATATTGCTAGCGGGGTACACAAATCGTAGTGTTCTGGAGTTCAAAGCCAGAGGGGACCATCTTCTAGTCCCATCTCCTCTCTATCATAGGCCATCAACACACCCAGCCACTTGCCTAATAAATCCAACAACCATAATTACACCAAGGTATTACGGTCCTCAGGAGATTAAACAACTGGGGGCCACAAGCAGAGAACAGGAGGGACCCAGGTGCATCAATATCTGAGGCCCCGGCAATGGCAGGGGATTAAGTGAGATATGACCAGATGATCCCCACTTCTCATGCTGCAGAGGAAGTTAAAAGAAACCCCAACCCAACTCTGACTCCAAGTATTTGAGGGACTTCAAGGGGATACTGGGCATTAGGGCCGAGATCCCCAAAAGGTATTTAGGTGCCTAACTCCCATTGAAATAAATGGATGCTCGGTGCCTAAAACACTTTGAGGACCTGGCCCCAGGATTCTAAGTTTCTGTTCCCAGCCTCAGAGCAGATTGTGGTGAGAGCCCAGCCCAGGTGCTCTGCGAGGACTGGACCTGGGACCGCTGGATGTAAAAATAAGAGGGTCACTCACTTGAGCTGAAGGACCAGATCTCTTAGCATGGAAGTAGTAGTAGACTCAAACCTCTGTACATGGTCTAGTTGCTAAAGGGTGACCCAGCCCTGTACTGTGCTAGTGTGGGTCACAGAGGCACCTCACTGGAGAAGTTCCTATGGAAGGTTGTGTGGCAAAGTGCTCAAGACTTAGCTCTGCTCTGTTAGAGACTTGGGTTCTATGCCCCGCTCTGCCTAGGGATCTTGTGCAAGCACGTACTGATCTGTGAAAATGGTGAATGATAGTTACTCCTTCCAAGACCATAGCAATGGCACAAAAATATCATCCCGGGAAGAGCTAGGAGTCTGGGCATGCAGTTTAGCAAATCTTCCATCCGGCCAAAGGGCCCTGTCTGGGACGAGTCTCTCATATATATATTTTGCTTTCCAAAAAGCATCTGATAGGTGGAGCTTTTCACAGCATCTGCAGCCAGGGCCTCAATTCCATGACCCGCCATAAATTCGCAAGAAATGGCCATGCCGTGAGCTGCATGCAGACTAAGTGAGGGACGCTGCCACAGGACCTCAGAGGGGTAAAGAGGCAGATGGGATCCCAGACCGCCAACTCTATGCAGTTCCCACACAGAGGGTGGTTTTCTGCCCGTGACAGGCCTGCAGGGAAAAACCCTGCTCTCCAGGGAAATCCCCAGCTATCGGCCTTCCCCATTCCCTGTCTCCTACAGGCGGGGGGAAGAAGATAGCCAATCGGAGCTGCTGGATGTGCTGCGAACAACCTGATGCCTCAGCACAAGCAAGAGGCCTAGCCCCTTCCCCTGAAAGCAGAGGGCTGGTGCGCCCCGCAGCTCTCGCCCCAGTGCAGAGAGAGCTGCACAACCCCTCTGGCTTCCTTCTCCCGGGCGGGGGGAAGAGAATCTGGCTGCTGCTAACCCCACAAGCTCCTAGAGGTGAGGGGTGGGGGTGATAAAATTAAAAGTTGGAGGGTGCGATACTGGGGTCTTTCTGGCATCATCCCCGTGCACAGTCGTGCAACACGTGGACCAGTCGATGCACCGTTTGCAATCTCTTGGCTTTGCCTTGAGGGTGCGGGATCCCCATGGGGCCCCCATCCCCAGCTGCAAACTCAGCGAGGGGGAAGCGCGTGCGCGCCGGAGCCGCCACACCAGCAGAGGGCCTTACCAGTTCAGCGCCTCCATCCTCTGCCTCTGCAAGGGCAACACGATGAACTCGTGGACAGACAGGTAGAACTCGCACTCCTCCTGGAAGGGACAGACAGGCAGGGTCAGGCGCGGGGCGCACAGCAAAGCCACCTGCTCCCCACAAGGGGGCATCGGCACCCCCCACGGCACTGGAGGGTGAGGGCCCAGTCAGCGAGGGGAGGGTCTCCACCAAGCCCCTCAGCAAATGAGGGTGCGAGAGGTGTAGGGGGCTGGGGAGTTGGAGGGAGCAGGAGAGGGGAATGGGGCCCTCTCGCCTCAGTGCTCTCTGGGGCTCCCCCTGGCTATGTGGGATAACAGCCTGCCCCCAGTGGGCATTAAAGGAAACCGCTGCAGGTGGGCGGACATCCCACAGCCTAGGCCCAGCCACCTCCGGCCTGGTTGCCAGGGCGCTCAGCCTGGCTGGAGCGCCTGATGGCACAGAGACCTCTAGTGGGTGAATAACGTACTGCAAGCTCTTTCACACACCCCGTGTCTGAATAGTGTACCACAAAGACACACGCCCCAGTGACTGAATAACATACTGCAAGCTAACACACACACACCAGTGTCTAAACAACATATGCACATGCACACATCTAGTGTCTGAATACATGCACCACTACCAACCACACACACCCGACACTAGTGGCTGAATAATATACTGAATAATATACTGCAAGCAAACACATCCACGCACCCCCTCCCTCCCCTCGGCTCTAGCTGGGGCACCCACAAACAGTCCTGCTATTTTTTTGGAATGTGAAAGGATTGGGCTGCTCAGGCTCAAGTCACAAACCTCTGAGCACACCCTCCAGGCACAGCCTAGCCCTCTGCAGACCGTCTCCCTCTCCAGGGCAGGGCCTGCGCCCGGCTCCAGCCTCAGGCCGGTTTGGCAAGCCAGGCTGGAGCAAGGCGATGCACTCCCCGGCTAGCCCCTCGCCGAGGGATGGACCCCACAGGGGAGACAGGCCAAGGAGTGCCTAGAAAGCTTTTGGGCAACAGCTGCAAAGGATTCTGGGAAAGCTATTGGGCTGCAAGCGGATGAGCAGGGGACAAGCAGTCACCTCAGCAGGAATGAGAACAGTCAGCCCCATGGGACGGGCAGTGTTACACAGGTGCCAAGGAACTGAGGGTGTAATGGGATTGGGAGTGCCTGCTTCCTCCAGCCACCATATCCTCCCTCCCCTCACAAAACCCACATTTTCTGAGGGGCAGTTCTCCAGAGCCTGGCACTACCTCTACTCTGGTTCACTGGACCCTCGCCTCTCATCCCCTCAAGCAAGGCCTGGGCGTGAATGGGAAGCTTGGATTCAGGCTCCTGCAACACCGGGGCGCAGACCCCTCCAGAGATCTCATCCCTCCCAGGTGCCCCACCCCTCAGGTCTGGAGTGCACAAAAAATTCCTGTAAAACAGACGAAGGGCCCCCCTCAATCTCCCACATGCCACCCCCCGCCTCCCTAATCCCGTGACTTGCCCCATCCCGCCCCCATCTCCCACATTCCATGCCCCACTCCTTGTCTCCCACGTACCGCCCCATCCCACATGTTCCATGCCTCATCCCACCGCATCCATAATGATCTATGCTGTCTCCTCAGTCCAAATGTTCTGATACTCACCGGCTCTTTCCCACATCCATCCATAATGTAACATGCTGACAGGCCGCAACTGTCTCTCCACACCCCATCAAGGCCCATTCCATCTCAGACATGCTGCATTGCCATGCCCTCCACCCCCCTCACCCTTTCCAGGACTTTCTGTGCCCAGGTGGCACCCCAGAACATTCTACCTGAGGAAGCCCCTACTCCCATCCAGAACAGTCAGCAACTGGGGGCTGCACTCCCATCTCCATCCCATGTCCTCCAGAATATTCCATACCCAGGTGGTGCATCCACAACACACTGGGGACACACTATCCCCATGCCCGCCCCTGGGGCATGGGAGGGCCTAATTTGCATCCTGACATGTCAGCAGAGGCTGTTTTGCATAAGAGATGTTGAATGGACCAGTGAGGGACTCGTTCGTCAGGCCCGAGGGACTCATGGCAGGCGTGGCCCACTGTTCTGCAAACAAGACCTCTGGGCAGCAAAGACCAGATCAGGAGCAGGCATGGGCCTGAAGACCTGGAGGCAGCCTGGGGAGAGGCAACGCAGGGCTGCAGTGCCCAGACGCCGACCACACATAAGGTAGAGGGGTGGGGTGTCGGACTGGAGGGGGAGAGGTGTGGTGGAGAGGAGCTCTCTGCAGTACATCACCTATCAGTCCAGTGAGCCTCACAAGGCTGGCTGCCCAGAGCAAGCCGGAAGAGGAGGCCCAGCAGGCCACGAAATATGCCTGCCCACGTGCCCAGAGAGCAGAAGCTGTTGTTGACCACACAGCTAGGAGCTGGTTCCCTAGCAAAGGAGCACCAGCCCTTCAGGAGAGGTCATATTGGGAAGGTCCACACCATCCACCTGCCCGCGCAGGGGCCGCATTGGAGGTGCTAGTTCTGGAGCTCCACCTAATGCTCCTAGGCAAAAATAGTCACGGCTTATAGCACCAGCTCCACTCTCTAGCCTAAAGCAAGGGTTAAGCCTCGTAAACACGGCTGGAGGCCCTGGCAGGCAGCAGCTACTGGGGTCACTCAATGTGTTGCTAGAGCAGAATGAGTTTACATGTGCACCATCCGTCTCTGTTGTGAACATGAGGTGAACCAGAGGCTATGGAACTAGACTTGGATGTGTGGAGAGGCTCATGTACCTTCCCTTGAGGATCCAGAGTCAATTCCTTTCCCAGATAGCTCAATTCCCCCCTCCTCAAAATCCCCTCCTTCCACCAAGCATTCTCCTCCTCAGTATTTTGCCATCAGGTCTGTGACACCCTGGCACCCCAGTGCATTCCTTAGGAACTGGGAGATGCCTTAGCTTTGCCTTTCCATGCACCTGTGTGTGTTGTGCTGCAGTTGGGTGTATCCCTACCTGCATGCATGCTGGAGGGGGCTTGAGAGTTTGTCACAGCAGTACAGTGTAAAGGGAGCCCAGGCTGGTGGGTCAGGCGGGCTCAGTGGTACCCCACTCCAGGTGGCATCCTGGAGGGAACTGTCACAATGTTGTAACATTTGCTGAACACCTCAGCCACACAACAAAGTGAGCCAAAGGGTTTCCAGCTACACAAAGGGAGCTACGCGCAGCTTACGTTTGATTCTGGGCCCTTGGTGAGGGCAGCTGCCTGTCCAACACAAGGCATCTCAGCGGGATCCAAGAGCATTAGAATATCCAGAGAGCAGGGCACAGGGTCACCCTAGAGTACGACCCCCATCACTTTGCTCAGCTGGTGGATCCCATGGCCGCTGAGACAGACAGAGCCTTACCGCTTTGGTCTCCTCCTGGAAGCACACCATGTACTTCTGCAAGATGATAATCCTGCCAATGATGTTGGAGAACCCGGACTGCAGTTGAACACTAGGAAACAGAGAGCAGCAAAACAAATTTGTGAGTGACAAATGGTCTCAAACGTGCATGAGCAGTTGGGTGATGGCCTGTGAGAGGACTCTAGAACCACTGCTCCAACTCAGCGGCGCTGTTAGAAATCGGCCTGTTGGGCGACTATCAAACAAAGTGATCCCAAGTGCAGCACGGTGCTTAGAGCTGCGCGGCCTGTATGCTATTCGTGACTCCACTACTGACAACAGGCCTGGCACTTTTCCCATCTGTAAAATGGGGAATTATAATACGTACCCGCCTTTGATGGGGAAGCTGAGGCAGACAGGTTAAGTAACTTGGCTCGAGGCCACAGCATGACTCAGTGGTGGAGCCAGGATTAAAATTTTCATGTTCCAGTCCCATGTTCGGAACATGAGCCTTTGCTCCCAAGAGTTTTCCAACAGTTATTGCTGCAGAGCTCAGCTTGGTGCATGCCAGGAGAGAGCGAGACTGAGCCGTGATCCATCCGCTGCAAACATTGCGGCAGCAGCAGAGTCTGGACACAGAACTGGCAGGCACTGGCTGATGATGTGAGGCCGAATCCTGCAGTAGGATGAGCTGCTTTATATCGGCAAGGGATGAATTGCTGCCTGCGTGACTGAGGAATTCAGGCTAAGCCACAGGGCAGTCTCTAAGTCTGTGGTTTGCCCCAGTGCTGTTAGCTGATGTCCAGCGCACAGCTGCACTTACATAGCCAGGCAACACCCAGTGTCACAAGAGCAATCATCCTGCGTGTTTACATAAAGCTTTTCTTGCCTTGCTCTCAAACCCCTTTGCCAAGGCTGGTGAGTATTATCCCCATTTTACAGATGAGGAGATGAAGGCTCAGAGGGGAAGTGACCTGCCCCAGGACACAGCAACAGAATTGGAACCAAAACTCAAATCTTGCGACTCCGATGCCTAGCGACTGGATGCTGCTGCACGCCTCAGAAGCACCACTCACTCTGAGGAGTGTATATCGGACTAAGGCTGCTAACAGGAGGCTCATAAATGTTCACTTAATTCCACATACGCTCACAGAGCTCCTCTGCTGGCTGGGATCCGAGTGTTTCTGGCGCGAACAACCAGTTCTCTAAGCTGGGAGAAGCCCCCCGGCTTGGGAAATGATCATGAGGGGCAATGTCTGTCTCTGGAAGTGAGACACTGAGAACATCAGCAGGACGTTTGCTGCCCGTGTCTTCTCTTCCACCGACAGACAGACATTTAGCTTAGAGCTAGTGGATAAGTAGAAAGGCAACATTGCAGAAATGGCAGAAGTGTTTTCCTTCCATTGTTTTACCTAAAGGGCCAATTCCCAAATTTTCCACACACAAAAATGGTAATTCTGCCTTTGAAAATGAAATTGGAGAATGGGGCGACTTTCAAACCTTGTGCTGAGCAAAACGAACACAGCTCCTTACACCTCATACCAGCTTGTAGCCAGTGGAGTCCCAAGGAGGAGTATAGACCAATATAATCCCTTTACCCACCTTGGGGGTGGCACATACAGCAGCCCTACACAGACTGTTTAGGACAGGAAGTGAAGGACATCAAATCCAACTGAAACTGCAGGGGGAAGTTAGAGAGGCGGAATGGAACCACCTGAAGTTACCAGTAGCGCTGGTGTCCTGGCCAAACTCTGTGACTCCTGTGTAAAGTGCCACTGCACCTTTAACGATCCCGAATAAGCAGGACCTCAGCCGAAACTCAACTCAAAGGCAGCACAGTTTGCAGCACAGCACCTGCAGGTGTCATGCTGGGACAGTAGATAAGTCACTTCCAGCAGCACCTGGGCTTTCCACATGGGCTCTCACCCAGCTACTGATTTAGCCCAACCCAACTGTCAATGAGAACCTGGCCGCCAGCTGCAATGCACAGTTACCCCAGCAAGGGTCGACAGACAAGGCGAAACCCACCATTCTGCCATCTGCACAGCTTCCGGGGAGACGACCACCCGGATGTAGTAGGACCCATCTGAGATGTGCAGGACGGCGGCACTGCCTTGGTCTGCAGCCTTCAAGTCACTCACAACCTATCGAGAGATTGGGAAGAAAACAAACATGGGCTTGACTCTTCCATCATCCCCGAGGAGCAGAGCTAGCGTTCAACACTGCTCCCAGCAAGGCAGCCAGGGCAGGGGATGCTGCAGACACTCGGGCCCCCTTTACGATCACTCACCATGAAGTCGGTGAATTAAATTCACCCCTGAAGTCACAGGAGCTCTGCATCTGCCCATGCCTGCCTGTCAGGGAATCACACTTAGGAGGAGCAGCAGATGGAAACAGCGGGGGTCATGAGAGTGCTACTCCTCAGGCTGGGTAACAGCAGGAGCTACCCACAGGAAGGAGAGAGAATCAGGCGAGGGGCAAAGGAGGGGTGGCCCCACCACCCAGAGACTTTCAGCAGGAAGCCAGGCAGGAGGGGGCCGGGGAAGGCTGTGGGCAGGAGCCCTGCAGGGAAGCAGAGTGAGAGGCATGGCTGCTGCCCTGGCTCTAAGGCAGTTCCTTGCTTAGCGATGCTTCGCCATTGTCACATGACAAGTCCCAGGTTGGGTCAGAAAGGCCCCTCGAGAGGAAGCAGCCAGAGCTGGGAAGTATTGCACGGAGGCCTGTCCAGGGTTACAAGAGTCCAGCTCGGCCTGTTACATGAAATTGTTTATAAAAGTCAGCAAACGTTAAAGACCGCCAGACTGGCTTAGCATCACACAGAAGGACTGTGCCCAGGGGCTGTGTGACGGTAACGACTGGTAAATGCAAGAAGAATGGAATCGGAAATTAACAGACCAAAATTGGTATGTTGGAAAATAAACCTCACCCGTGATGGGCTATTGTGCACACCACTCTCTTTTGGGGTCCCTAAAAATAGGCTTTGGAGGGGCTCAGAGCACCAGGGATGGCTGGACTGGAAGGAGCACGCTTTACCCTCCCGGCTGGGACCTTGGGAGCTGCTATGACACCAATGGACCTTCATCATCCTGGTCCTGAAAGGCATTCTGAGCAGCCCCAGCCAGAGAGGGAACTGACAACATCGGGCTCCAGCTAAACCCTGAACAGCATCTGGAATGGGCTCCTGTTCTCACCCCCACCCTGAAGTGTCTTTTTCCTTCCCGGCTCTCACTCTATCTTCTGTCTAGAGTCTAGCTTAGACAACGCCATTTTTTGCAGCACTGCTCTGAGCCTGCGACCAGAAAGGCAGCTGAAAGCAATGCCCTAAACAGCCCGACATTGGTACGAGTTTGCCAGGTCTCAGCATGGCTGATCAGACCACGTGTTTCTCCAGCAAAGAGGTTGCAAGTGAAAGTCAGCACCAAAGACAGAGCTGCATCTTCTATCTTTGCTGTTGTTTTCGCCCTCTTTTGTCTTGCTTTATCATAAGGAAGCAAGACTGGACTTCCACCAAAACAACTGCAGCTCATTTCAACTCATCTGTTTAATTTTCCCCCAAAAGGACATTTATCATCATCTTTAACACGATTTAAAAACTGTCAGGTGCTCTTCCCTATAAGAAGCTTTCTACAGCGAAAGGGAAAGGGAGGAAGAGATACTGTTAAAATGAAAGCCTTACTTCATACTCTCCTTTCTAAATGCTCTCGCTGTGTTTCCTTTTTTTGTATCGTTAATAAAAGGTTTAAAACAATTTACTGGTTGTTGTCCTGGGACTAAGCAGGTCTCTGTGCTCAAAACCCCAAGCCATGCTTAATGTTTAATGTCGGACAGTGACAGAGTCATGTTAACGCCCTTGACTCGCTGGGCTCATTTATTCCATCGGAATTAACACAGCAGAAGGAAGACTGGTCATAGAGGAAAAGAGGGAGTGCAGAAGAGAGGCAGGGGGATGGGGGTCCCATTCGGGAGAGGAAAGGGGGCTAATTCAGGACAGATGGCAAGAGGGAGCAGATGACTGGCAGGAGTGAAGAAAAAGTTGTTTGGAATTTCTAAGGCAGGTGGCAAACTCCCCTGCAATCAGTTTGCATGAGAGCAGCTCAGGGATGTACATAGGCAGAGGAAGGGGGTTCACTAGAGCTGGGAAGGAAACCGTTTTTCCATCCCACAATTTTGAGATTATTACCGCTCAGTAATAACAACCACAGTGGAATTAAATTTAACATCCCTGTAGAGGGGAAAATACCGAAGAAACCCACCATAGTAGCATTTAACTTCAAAAAGGGGAACGACACACAAATGAGGAAGCTAGTTAAATCAAAATTAAAATATACAGTCACAGGAGTGAAATGCCTGCAAGCTGCATGGAGACAGCGTAACAGAGGCTCAAACTAAATGAATATCACAAATAAAGAAAACAAAAAACAAAAACAGCAAGACCATCAACAGAAATGCCATCATGGCTAAACAACAGAATAAAAGAGGCAGTTAGAGACAAAAAGACATTGCTTAAAAATTGGAAGTTAAATCCTACTAAGGAAAACAGAAAGGAGCATAAAAACTGGCAAGTCAAGTTTAAAAGTATAATTAGGTAGGCCAAAAAGAGAATTTGAAGAGCAACTAGCAAAAGACACACACACACACACACACACACACACACACACACACACACACACA